AAAAAAAAAAAAAAGCAAGTTTGTTTTGCATTAACCATTATAAATACCATTTTTTTTTCAAAAGAAAAATTGGCAAGTTTGTTTTGCATTCAACATTATATAAAAGTTTGATATTTATTTAATACAATAATTATAATTTTCATCCTCAGTTTTTTTCTCAACGGCATAAAAATACTCATAAAAAAAGCCCAAACATGCAAATTACACAGACGAGTCCCGAAGACGGGAAATGAGAGGCTACACACAACCAATGCAACCTAAACGGAATACAAACTAACAATGCTAGAATACTAGCACACTACCAACACTAAAATAAAAAAACCTCAATAGGGTAATACCAAAAAACACACAAATAAAAAAACCCTAAAAGGGTAATACCCGAGTGTAAACTCCCAACCGGAGAATAAAAGCTACACTCGGGCCGAACTGGGACTAAGCAGCCCAAACCAAAAACACAAAAAAACACACAACATAAAAACCCCAAACACACATATAACAAAATACAGCAAAAAAGCTACACTAAACAAACAAACGGAGCCTTTCCCCGATCCGGACTACACTCAAACAACGGCGAACAACCGACGCAAGAAAATCTCAAGCCCGAGAACTGCTACCGAAACTGCACGAACGCCTATACAGCAGGTGCCCTCAACCCTCGAGACAATCCCGAATCGACCCATCTCTAACCGAGAGAACCCACGCAGCCACCACGCTGGCCCCACCGAACGAGCCTAACACCACTAGCCAAGTTCAATAGGACCCAATCCCTCCCCGCCTAACACCACTAGCCGGACAAGGAAAAACGTGATAGGCCCGAGTCCTCAAACCCAGCTGCCGCACCAAAACGGCCCTACAACCGGGCTCCCAGCCCACACCACAGCTCCCGCCCCCAACACCACCACAAATTACCTGAGACGCCCAGCAACACCCTTCCAAAAAGGCGAGAGCCCCGCCGGAAAGCCACAGCCCGCAGCAGCAGAGGAGGACCCAAGGGGGGCAACCCAACACGAACCAACGCACCTTCGTCAATCGAAAAAGGCGCTTTCAATCGACCTCCGAACGCTGCCCGAGCAAGACCGCAACCACCCACCGAGATCCAAACCACGACCACCGCTCTCCACATAATCCACGACAAAATCGAAGGAGCGCAGCACCGTGAGTGGGCCAGACAGTCAAGGACGACCCCTGGCCGAGCTAATCCATCGCAGAAGAAGGCGACAGATCGGAAATTGGCCGACAAGCGCAGAAGAGGGTTTTTAGGGAGAGAGGAAAAAGGGGACCGGTAGATCCCTTTTTCATCCTAGGTTTAGGATATACTATATACAATAAGTTTGCTCAACAAGTTAAACTTTTTTTTTTCGCGTTTCTAAAATAATTTTTTTTATCTGATTTTTTTTTTTAAAAAAAATCAGCTTTTGAGTACTCATTTTAATTTTTTTGTTAAATGTGTTCTTACATATTCACTTTGTGTTTTATTTTTTTTTTTAATCGCTACATTTTTCTTTTTTTTTTTTACTTTTACTAACAATTATGGATATAAATCGGAATTTTGAGACTAAGTTTTCAATTATTTTTTTAGTTTAAATGTTAAAATGCATTAAAAATGTTAATTAGTTATTATTTAAGAAGTGTAAAGTATAAAAACATTAACCCCTAAATATTTGGATGTTTTATTCTTGAATAAAAAATATGCATAAATTGTTCGATAAATTATACATATTAAACAAGTAAAAAAAAAAATTAATCAGTGGGAATTCTCGTAATCCTAACATTCCTAATAACTAATTTCAAAATATCTTAGATTTAAGAGGTAAATATACAATATTCGGAATTTACTTAAAAATCTCCAAACTCGGAAGGCATTGTTACATTTTTTTTTATCTGGAATAAAAAAATGAATATATCTCATTATATTGTTAGGATTCTCAAATCCCAACAATCAGAAATAAATTAAACATAGATAACATTTTAGGGATATTCATTAGGGATAACATTTCTTTTCATAATTTTGATTTAAGAAAACCAGTATATAAAAAACAAATTCTAGATTCCAAAATATGAACCATCAACAACAGTTAGACATGTCAATAAAAAAAATTAAATCAAATTAAAAACAAGGAAAATTCTACGCATAACACCGTTTGATCAACTATCCACGACGATTACATGATGATCTAACTGTTACAAATTCTGACGGAATAATTCCGTAACAAGACTGTAGCATTTCTCTAAAAACAATATAAGAAGATAACCGATAAGGGATTCTCATAATTCCAAACTTCGTTTTTATTATGTATATTTAAAAGAAATACGCGAAATATACTATTAGTATTTTACTAAATAATATCATATAATTATTAAGCATGATAGAAAAACTTGTTCAACTAATGGATAAAATATTTCTTATTTCTCAATAAAATTGGTCGATATTTAATAATTACTATATATAATACGTTATCAAATCAAAGATTATTAAAAAAATATTAATTTAGTATATGATAACAAATAAAAAAATTATTACTTTTTTTAATATATTTATAAATTAAGTTAGACAAGTATTTTATAACCTAAAAATTCTAATAAGTAGAGATAAAAATCAAAATCTACATAAACTACCTCGAAAAACAATAAATTGACAAGGGCTACGAAGCACAAAAAATTAACACATACGATTACAAAATACTAGAAATTGTCATATAGGCTCAAA